CCCTATGGAGATTGGCTCTCTACTATCTCTCTCATTCCTGTAAGGCTCCAGAGCCGAGTGGTCCTTACCGAGAGCTAGTGGGCTGTCTCATGTACCTGATGACCTGCACTCGTCCTGACCTTGCGTACCCTCTTGGCCTTCTGGCTCGCTACGTGGCTCCTGGTCGGCACCGAAAGGTGCACATGGATGCTGCTAAGAGGGTACTACACTACTTGGGCATGGGGCTCATGCTTGGAGGACGGAGCGACGTTGTCCTCACAGGGCACTCAGACGCTTCTTGGGTTGACGACCAGGCTACGCAGCGGTCGTCACAGGGTTACACCTTCAGCCTTGGCTCTGGTTCAGTTTCTTGGCGTTCTACACGCTCGTTTTCAGTTCTCGGCTCCTGATGTGAGGCTGAGATCTACGCCACAGCCATGGCTGCACAGGAGTTACGCTGGCTTACCTACCTGCTGACCGACCTGGGAGAGCGGCCTCGTTCTCCTCCAGTGCTGTACGTTGGCAACAAGGCCGCCATTGCCTTGTGTCAGGAGCACAGACTGGAGCACAGAACGAAGCACATCGCTCTGCGTTACTTCCTGGCTCGAGAGTTGCAGCAGCGTGGTCAGCTTCGTCTTGCTCACGTGGCCACTCGGGCCAACACTGCTGATATATTCACCAAGGCACAGGAGTTACGCTGGTGATCATCAGCGTTTCTGCACTTTGTTAGGCCTTGTGCCCACTTTTCCTCACTTGCTGTAGACTTTGCTTGTACTGTGATCTCTATATATATACGTGCATGCTTGTTCTGCTAGGTAGAGATCACTGTACTGCTGTTGTTGCATATATACCTCTGCATGTGAACTGGCCTTGTGGCCCTTTGCTTGTGCTCAGTGTGTGTGGTGACGTTGTGATCCACCCTGAGCTTGCTTTGCTTCTCTTGACTGGTCTTGTGACCCCTTGCTCTCCCCCACTTTGCCTATAGGGGTGTGTCAAAGTATATATATGCTATATATGTTTAGGCTGTAGTGGGGTAGCCAATATGGGGTACAGCCCCTTTTAGGGTTTCATACTTGTACCCAACCCTTTCATAGTTCATTCATTCCTGCTACTAGATTCTAACAGAAAAGAGGACAGAGAGGCTGCTGGATGAAAGGAATGGCATCCCAGGGAGGCACCCAGACCAGGAGGAGGATGAGGAGGACTGGGAGGAGCCAGCAATGGACTGGGACAGCGAAGACGAGGAGGATCCAACGGAGAGGTGGATACCAGACCAGGACGAGGTGTTCCTAGGGCCAAGCAGGGCCTACATGGCGGCACTGAGCGAGACTGAGGCGGAGGAGACAGCTGAGACCGCAGAAAAGGGGGTGGCAGCAGAGGGGACAGAGGAGAGAGCTAACAGAGCACGTGACGGAGAGAGAGCAGAACAGGAGGCAGCAGCAGGAGGAGACGGGCGCAGGCGGGAAAGAGGCGACGAGGAGCAGCATAGGTGGAACATAGGTGAAGCCTAGCAGGGGGCAGCCGCAATTAGGCTAGAAGCAGTGCTGAGGCAACATGCAGCAGCATTCGCACACAACCTGCAGGAACTGGGGAAGTGCGTGACAAGCACTATGCACCTGCCCCTGACAAGCGAAGTGCCAGTGTACCAGAGGCGCAGGAGAATGAGTCCCCAGGACATAAAATTTTGCACAGAAAAGTGCCGAGAGCTTCTAGCAGCGGGATTGATTTGCAGGTCAGCATCAAAATACACAGCGGCGACCGTGGTGGCAGCTAGGACGGATCTAACAGGGGCGGTGCTGTCACGGAGGATGTGCGAAGACTACAGAGGTCTGAACAAGGTAACAGCAACAGGCCGCTACCCCATGCCGATGGCGGAGGAATTATTTGACCAGCTGCAAGGCAGCTGTGTTCTCGACACTAGATCTGAGACAGGGCTTCAACCAGATACCCATAGCGGAAGAGGATAAGATGAAGACCGCTTTCCATGGGCCGGATGGTTTGTACGAATGGAATTTCATGCCATTCGGGCTGAGGAATGCCTCCGCGGTGTTCCAGAGGGTCATGGACGCGGTGCTGAGGGACGTGAAGAATGCGACCTGCTACATAGATGACGTGATCATTTTCAGCCCCGACAGCGACACGCACGTCAATGATATCGAAGCGACGCTGGCAGCCATCCAAGCAGCATGGCTGACTTGCCACCCTGGCAAATGTCGGTTCGGACACAGCAGCGTGGCATACCTAGGGTTTGAGGTGGCAGGAGGGGAGCTGAGCATCCAGAAAGCGAAGGTAGAGGTGCTGGACAGGGTGAGCCGCCCGAAGGACAGAAGCGGATTAAGGGCGCTGCTGGGCTTTCTGAATTACTACCGCAAGTTCATAGCAGACTTCAGCAAGAAAGCCGCACCTCTGAACAAGCTGCTGAGAGAGGATCAGAAGTGGCAGTGGGAGGAGGCGCGGGAGGGTGCACTGAAGGGGCTGATGGAGGCAGTAAAGGAAGGAGCAGTGCTGAAGCTGCCTGACGGGAAGGCGCCATTCGTGCTCTACACGGACTGGAGCAGTGTAGGGATGGGGGCAGTCCTGAGCCAAATGGAGGATGGGCAGGAGAAGGTGGTAGCATTCGCCAGCAGGACCTGCAACCCAGCAGAGGCGGATTATTCCTCCTATGAAGGAGAAGGGCTGGCAGCGGTGTGGGCAGGAGGACACTTCCGAGTCTATCTGCAAGGCAGGCACTTTACGCTGGTAACAGACCATCAGCCCTTGCTGTGGCTCATGCAGAACCAGACATTGACGGGGCGGAATGCGCGATGGGCATTGAAATTGCAGGAATATGACTTCACAGTGAAGCATCGCCCCGGGAAGACAATGCAGCACGTTGACGGGTTATCAAGGAACTCACCAAAGGAGAAGTAGGGGCCGGGCACAGAACCAGAGCTGCCCGCGGCAGCACTGACCGCCATGGTCAAAGAACAGGGGCCAGGAGGAGAGCAGAAGCGAGGGGCAGCAGACGTCTGGCAGGACGCAGAGACACTGGCATGGATAAAGGGAGAGACAGACGAGGGCAAGGGAGCAGGGTCCAGGGCCAGGGCAAGGGGACAGCACTACCGGTGGTTGCAAGGACAGGTGCAGCTGAGGACCAAGGACGGCTGGAAGAGGGTGCCCGAGCCCGCGGAACGAGAAAAGATCATCAAAGAAGTGCATGAGAAGCTGGGGAACTACGGCCCACTGCGCACGCAGCAGCTGCTGCACTCCGGATGGTGGTGGGCAGGGATGCGGAAGGTGGTGAAAGAATGGGTGGAGAAGTGTGAGCTCTACTGCAGAAACAAGGTAACACTACTGAAGAGTCAGGCAGAGCTCCAGCCTCTGGCAATAGTGGAGCTCGGGTACAGGTGGTCACTAGACATAGCGGGGGAACTACCTGTGAGCAAGAGGGGGAGAAGGTACATCGTGCTCATGATAGAGCACGTGAGCAAATGGGCGGAGGCACGGCCGTTGGTGAACAAGACAGCGGCAGCAGTGGCGGAGGCATTGTGATGCTGACGAGGTTTGGGGCATGTGGAGAGGTACTGACAGATCAAGGCACCGAGTTCCAAGGAGAGTTTGATGAGCTGCTGGCATCCAACGGCATCCAACACCGCACCACCTCCAGGTACCACCCGCAAGCAGATGGCCTGACAGAGAGGCTGGTGCAGATGGTGAAAAAGGGGTTACGAGTGTACGGCGAGGTGCACAAGGGGGACTGGGACAAGAAGCTGGCATGGGTGATGGCGGGGTACAGATTCAGTAAACAGGCCGCGCTGAAGGACGTGTCCCCCTACTATCTGCTCTTCGGGAAGCCGCCGATACTACCAGTGGGAGCGCCACGCTTGCTGATAGACAGTGTGTCGGCAAAGACAGCAAAGAAGTGGGTAGCACTGGCAGACGCCAGAGCCGTGTACCTGAAGAAAATGCTGCCAGCGGCAATGGAGAGCCTGAAGGTGGCGCAGCTGAGAGACATCCACCGATACCGACAGAGGCAGCTGGGAAAGATGCAGCAGAAGGATCCTCACCTGAAGGAAGGACAGGAGGTGTACGTGCGGAGGGTAAAGCGGGATGGGCTGGACCTAGGTGTGTCCCAACAGAGGTGGACGGTCAAGGAGGTGCGAGAGTCAGGGGTGCTGGTGCTAGAGGATGAAAAGGGGAAGAGGGTTATGGACCATGTGACGAATGTGGCGATCGGGGGCAAGGGCAAAAGGGAGCGGGCTTACCAGGGTCCCATGACCCGGGCGAGGACGGCAGCAACAGGTCATGGGAGGGGGCAAGAGTGAGTGCATCACAGAGAGAACCAGCAAGGGAGGAGAGGAGAGGCAGAGGACAGACGTGCAGAGGTAAGAAGTCAAGGAATTGGCGGGGCTGAGAGGAGAAGGGGAAGTCAGGACAGGAAGTGTAAGAGCGGGGAAGAGGTGTGAGAGAAGTGAGGAGCAGAGGTGAAGAGAGAGTTGCAGAAGGGCAGGGAGGAGGAGGTGAGTTCCGACAGCTGTCACATTTGCATGAATGTGAGGAAAGAGGGGTAAGCGCACGGGGGATTGTACAAAGTGTATATAATGTACATAGCGCACTGGGCTAGTAACAAGGATGCTCGGTGAAGAGACAAGTGGCGGTTGGGAGTGAAAGGAGGTGAGCTGGAGGTTGACGACTGCCGAAGCGAAGGGTTGGAGAATTGCATGGCTTCCCCCCTCACCCTCTCCCCTCCAGGTACATGAAGGCGCATGTGCTGCCGGCTGCAGGAGCAGGTGCAGGCGCACCTCAAGCTGCACTTCGACACTGCTGAGGTGAGAGGGGGCATAGCGAGAAAATGTACGGGCTTCTGTAGGGGTGAGTGAGTGGATGCAGAGGTGAGTAGGGTGGTGTGTTGTGGACTTCGAAAGTTTTAGCAGGTGCAGTTGCATCTCAAGCTGCACTTTGATGCCGTAGAGGTGAGAGGAGTGCTGTGGCTCGGGTGATGCTTAGAGAGAGGTGATTGGGGCTTGTGCCAAGCATTTGGCATGGTATGTGCGTACGTGCGTGCCTGTGTGCCGTGCTTACGTGTGCATGCGCACATGCAGGTGAGGGACGATGTGTTGTTGCACTGCCCATCATCCATGCATCCATGTCTGTATGTGCGCGTGTGTGCATGCATATGTGCTAATGTGTGAATGTGCATGCATGCAGGTGAGGGCCGATGTGTTGTTGCACTGCCCATCATCCATGCATCCATGTCTGTATGTGCCCGTGTGTGCATGCATATGTGCTAATGTATGAATGTGCATGCATGCAGGTGAGGGACGGTGTGTTGTTGCACTGCCCATCATCCATGCATCCATGTCTGTATGTGCGCGTGTGTGCATGCGTGTGTGCATGCATATGTGCTCATGTGTGAGTGTGCATGCATGCAGGTGAGGGACGATGTGTTGTTGCACTGCCCATCATCGGTGCGCACGCTGGTGAAGCGCCACGTGTACTCGCGCTTCGTCAACTCATCCTACCTCTTTGCCGGCACCTCTAACATCTTCCGCGTGAGTGAGGGCGCTACCATGCTGCCGCCCTCCCATGCGGCCGCCCTCCCATGCGGCCGCCCTCCCATGCGGCCGCCCTCCCATGCTGCCGCCCTCCCATGCTGCCGCCCTCCCATCCCAAGCGCCCATACAACTCACCCCACCCATCTGACACTCTCTGTCTCCCTATACCATCCATCTGTGTCACCCTTGTGTCTTTCATAATGCCACACGTGAGCTTTTGCACTACACCAAATCCGCTTTTTTCCACCTCATTGCATTCTCTTACTCCCAGCCACTCTCATATCCCTTATGGCCCCTACCACTGCACTGCTCTGCACCCCTCGCCTGCATCCCTGCATCCCCCCATGCGTGCATGAACGCGTGTGTGTGCGTGCAGGACCAAGTAACAACACGTGCCAATGTGGATTTCTTCCTGCCACACGTGGACCTGGTGGCAGCAGGCAACAGCACCACGGAGCTGCTCATCATTGCCTCAGGGCAGGCGCAGGTGCGTGCTTGATGGCTTCGTGTGGGCACAGCGAGGTGTGGGCACAGCGAGGTGTGGGCACAACGAGGTGTGGGCACAGCGAGGTGTAGACACAGCGAGATCTGGGCACGGCGAGGTGTGGGCACAGCGAGGTGTGGACACAGCGAGATCTGGGCATGGCGAGGTGTGTTGATGAAGTAACTCAGGAGGGCAGGAGGACAGGAGGTCAGGAGGACAGAATGACAGGAGGACATGGGGACAGGAGGACAGGAGGACATGGGGACAAGAGGACAGGAGGACATGGGGATAGGAGGACAGCAACGCAATGCGGACTTCACTCTCCTCACAACCTCGCATTTTTCCTGGCTCTCTGGTTCTTTTCCACTCTCACATTCTTTCACCCTCCCTCCCTCACTCACTCCCTCACTCTTGCTCTCCCTTGCCCAGGTGCTAGTGCGTGGGAAAAATGGCAATGAGATGCAGTAGTTCGTGCTGCACGAGGGGGACTGCGTGGGAGGTGAGTACGGGGCGTACGAGTTTTGCCAAGCTTCTGGGGACGTGGTGAGAGCAAGCGAAAGGAGTGCAATGGGGGGGAGGGCGAAGGAGGATCTGGGGCGGGTCGTCTCTAAGCTGACTGAGTCATCACGTGCTCTTTTCCTCTCCTCAACCCTCTCCACTGTCAGAATATTATCCTGGTTTGTAACCTGCATCTATCCTATAAGCTTCAGTTAGAGATAGACACCCAAACTCAGTTTCAAGAGTTGTGAGGACAATTCGTTTTTTTGATTCATTTTATCCTCTTTCCTATCCTATTTGGTGGACCTTCGCCGTATCACCCCACTCCCCACCCGACTCAGAGGATCCCCTTACTGTGCGACACGTTGTCAGTGTGGTATCAAAGCAAGGCTTAGGCCTCATACGTTGCCCCTATCCTTCCCTCTGCCCGCCACTGGCACTGCACACTTCCAAAGATCCTGTTTCTGTGCTGTATCCTTTCTTGATAAAGCTGTGGACAGTGCGAACACTGTCTGATCTGTTTGACATTGGATCCTCAATGCTAGAGCCTCATGTGCTGCCCTACCCCCATCCGACCTTCTCTGGATTCACCAGAGATCGCCTTCCTGTGTGACCTCACGGAGCTGTGGACGGTGCGCACGCTGTCGGTGCGTCCGTGGCTTGCACTCACCCCGCTGACGACCGCCACGTCATCGCCAACCTGCTTAACCGGTGAGTGCTCTGTACCCATCCACGCCTCACCCACCACACCCTTCCTCATTCATCTCCTCTCAAGGTTCACAGCAGGGCGGAGGCAGCAGTGTGCTTCTACACCACGCCTTGCTGTGATCATCACGTGCCATCCCCCATCCACTCCTAGCGCTCTTGCTCACCGTGCAAAGCATGCAGCTAAGCGAAGGCGACAGCATGCCTTTACCCCTCAGTTGTGTACAATCACCACAACTTACCTTACATAACCCCCCCTGCCGTCGACCCTCCATCTCCTCCGCATTCATGACTTGTGCAGGGCGCGCAGCAGGGCGGAGGCGACGGCCCGGTTCTACCCCGGCAACAGCACCATGGCGGAGCCGTCTCTGCTGCTCAAGGACGAGGTCGAGGTGAGGTGGTGTGGTGGGGGGGAGCTGCATGACAGCATGGCAGCATGGCAGTATGGCAGGGGGAAGATGCGGGTGTAACCAGGGGGTGTACACCTGGAACACTACCCTTCTCCTTTCTCCTGTCCCACGTATCCATTTTTTTCACCTTCTCTTCCGGAGCAGCCTGTTCTGAACGGCATTGATATCTTCTTCTTCTACCCTCTCTCTCACACCTTCGCCAACCGGAGACTCGCACCTACACCTTCGTCACCTACCCTTCCTCACTCTTGTCGGAATCCTTCTTCCTCTCTGCCATTCTTCCACATTTCAGCCCCTTTCCTTAAGGATACTTCCCTAGACCTTCTCCTCTCTTCACCCCATTCACCCCATTAGGTTCCTCAGCTCCCTCTTCATGCCTTGGGTCTCTGACCCTGCCTTTCCTGCCTTTCCCACTTGTGGGATCCTAGTCAAGCGAACTCTGCTAGGAAAACCTAACTTGGCTGACTGTCGGATAAGACAGCACCAACACTTCGTGGGCTTGCTATGGTTGGCTCCTCCACTAGCGCAACTCTAGAGGTTTCTAGGAACAAGTCTTTGCTTAGAGTGGAAACAAACAAGCAAGCAATTGCCTCTACGCTGTTGCTTGCCTAAATATCTACGTCTGGTTACCGTTGCTCTACAACGGATGTTTACTTTTCGCTAGTTGGGCTCGATTCCCCTTCCTTGGCCACGTAGATTCCGGCCTGTCACTATAGAACACTACGCACTACTGTACCCTGTCTTGCTTTTATATTGTTTCTTCCTATCTGCTATTCTACAATTAAAAGCATGACAGCTGTCGGAATCTTTCTCTTCCTCTCTGCCATTCTTCCCGCATTTCAGCCCCTTTCTTTAAGGATACATCCCTAGGCCTTCTCCTCTCTTCACCCCATTCACCCCATTAGGTTCCTCAGCTCCCTCTTCATGCCTTGGGTCTCTGACCCTGCCTTTCCTGCCTTTCCCACTTGCCCCCTCCTCGGCGCCCACTCTGCCTTCTGCCGCCGATGGACTTCCTGGTTGAAAGGTTGTTCCCCACGCGAGTGCCATGCGCTCCTTCTTGGCTCTAGGGTTGCTCTCTGGGGCCGGGCCCGTGCCACGTTCGTCTGGTGATCCCTCTTCTCCTGGCCTTTCTCTCCCACCAGCACTACCACCCCATGAATCCTTGACTTCCTTCACCCTCCAACGTTCTGTGCTCAGCCCGATGTCCAGCATGTCCTGCCTCGCCTGCTTGACGTACACTTCTTCCCCCACTCCCAACTGCTGCGCCTTCTGCTCTGCCTGTCCTTCTCTCCTTCGTTTGTATCTCTGCGCATCTCTGAGCTGCGCCACTTGCAGATTCTCTAATGCCGCTGGCAGCATTTCTCTCAGATACCTTGCCCGCGCTTCAGCCAGCCCCACCCATGCTTCTTCCGAGCTGGCAATGACTACATCGGTCAGCAGCAGCGGCGCGTCTACGGGCAGGATTGGTTCCCTCCCCAGCAGCAGATAATAAGGGGAGAAGTCCTTTAAAGCAGCCTGCTTGCTGAATCGATATCCAGCGACCACCCAAGGTAGCCGCGCGTCCCAATCCCTCTTGAATCGCTCCCCGTAAGCCCTTAATCCCCTTTTCACTGTCTGCACGAACCTCTCGGTCAGCCCGTCACTCTACGGATGGTACCGCGACGTCCGACGGTGTGTGATGCCGCTCGCCCTCAGCAGCTTCTCGAAATCTCCTAGGAACTCGGTACCTTGGTCTGTTAGCACTTCTCTGCAGGCGCCGAAACGCGTCAATACCTGGTCTTCGAATGCCTCTGCGATCTTTGCTGAACTTTTGCTAGGCAGCGCCTTGACCTCCACCCATTTGCTGCCGTGTTCAATCATGATCAGGATGAATCTCTTTCCCCTCCTACTGAGAGGCATCTCTCCTGCCAAGTCCAGTGACCAACGGAAACCTATCCCTCTGATGGGCAAGGACTGCAGCTCGTCTCTCCCTCTCTCGAGCTCCGCCTTGTTCCTGCTGCACCGCTCGCACGAGCCCACCCACTCCTTGATGTCTCCTCTCATCCCCGCCCACCACCAGCCCGTCTCTATTAGCTGGCTTGTCCGCAAGCTACCGTAGTGCCCCAGCTGCCGATGCACCTTCGCTATTATCTCTTCTCTTGCTTGGGCACCATCTTCCACCCTTCCTTGGTGTTTTTCTGCAGCTGATCCTGGTATCACCGATAATGCAGCCCCCTGGCTCTGGCCCGTTCACTCACTGGCTCCGATTCCGAGGTCTTTCCTTGGATCCAGCGCAATGTCTCAGCGTCATCCCAGATGGCTTCAACTCCCTTCTGCGCTCTCTTCTTCGCACCTTCCCCATCTATATCCCTTGCCAACGCCACCAAACACGCCTCTGGACTCGTAGGTGGAGGGTTATGCGAGAGCCCATCCACGTGCTGCAGCGTCTTCCCTGCCCTGTGCCGTATCGTGAACTCGTATTCCTGCAGCCGCATCGCCCATCTGGCGTTCCTGCCCGTCAGGGCCTGGTTGGTCATCAGCCAGGTCAGAGGCTGATGGTCGGTGACTAATACAAACGGCCTCCCTTGCAGGTACACGCGGAAATGAGTGATAGCCCATACTGCTACGAGCCCCTCTCCCTCGTAAGAGCTTTAATTAGCTTTTGCGAGGTTGCAGCTCCTGCTCGCGAAAGCCACGACCATCTCCTGTCTCTCCCTTTCTTGACATAAGATGCCTCCCATGCCTGCACTACTCCAGTCAGTGTAGAGTACGAAAGGGTCCTCCTTACTGGGCAGGGTGAGGACTGTCCCTGTCTTCACGACCCTGAGTAGGGCCTTGAAGGCCCCTTGTTCAGCTTCTCCCCATTGCCACACCTGCTCCTCTCTCAGCAGCTTGTTCAGTACCGAGGCAGTGCAGCTGAAGTTGGGTACGAACGTTCGGTAGTAATTGAGGAATCCGAGCACAGCCCTCAGCGTGCTACGGTCCTTGGGGGTGGGGACGCGGTCCAGCACCTCCACTTTCGCCTGCTGGATGCTCAGCTGCCCCTCTTGCACCTCGAAACCCAATTATTTCACCGTACTATCTCCAAAGCTGCACTTCTTCGGATGGCAAGTCAGTCCTGCGTCTCGAATGGCTGCCAGAGTGTCGCTCACGTCCTTCACGTGTTGCTCAGCCAAGGCACTGAACACTACTACATCGTCGATGTAGCAGGCTGCAGCTGGTACGTTCCTCAGCACCAAGTCCATCACCCGCTGGAACAGGGCCGGCGCATTCTTCATGCCGAAGGGCATGAACCTCCACTCGTACAGCCCATCGGGCCCATGAAAGGCTGTCTTCTTTCGGTCCTCCTCCTTGATGGGTATCTGATTAAATCCCTGTCGGAGATCCAGCGTGCTGAACACCACCGCTCCCTGCAGACAGTCAAATATCTCCTCCACAGTCACCTTGTTAAGTCCCCTGTTGTCCCCGCACATCCTCCTTGCCGACACTTCCCCGGTGAGATCCTTCCGCGCTGCCACCACGGTTGCTGCAGCGTAGTCACTGTCTGAGATCTGGATAAGGCCCGCGGCTAGCAGCTCGGCGCACTTCTCCCGACAGATATCCAGGTCGCCTGGGCTCATCCTCCTTTTCCTCTGGTATATGGGCACCTCTGTAGTTAGCTTCACCTGCATCTGGTGCGAGTTACATTGGCCCAACTCTTGCAGCGTATAGGCGAACGTCTTCCGGTGCTGCTTCAGAACTTCCTATAATGCACGGGCCACTTCTGCCCCCATTCCGGTGCCTATGGGCCAGTCATCTTCGGGGCTCCTCTCCTGGTTTGGCTTCTCTGCTGGCAAGCTCTTTTCCCCATCTGGTGGCAGTACCCCTTGCTCCGCTGCTCCCTCCCTCGCTTCCACCGCCATATAGGCCCACCCTTCCAGGATGCGCGATTCCTGCTGTTCCTCTATCGCCCTCAGCTGACGCCTCTTCATCTCGGCTTCCTCATCTTCCTGGTAAAGCTCGCTGACCTCTATGCCGCGTTGGAGTTCTTTCCTCTTCAGCTGCATGCGGATGGTCTCCACCAGCCACGTCATGACGTTTAGATCCATGGCCCTGCCCAGCGCGGCTCGCCTCCGGGGCTCCGTCACGCGTGGGTGGGCGGTGGCTCCCGGTCGGTGTCCCATGGCTAGCTCACGTTCTTCGGCAGTGGGTTGTTCCCACCGCTTCTCGATGACGTCGTAGATCATCCCTGGCCCGGGCAAATCTCCCTCCATCACGAACCCGTATGCGTCGACGTATGACACGAGCGTTGGCAGCGCCTGCCTCGGCTTCCCAGGCACGTTGCACTGGTATTGCGACGGATGGTCATGCGACGTGACGGGCGCGGGCAGTCGGTTGGGGCCCAGGATATCACTGACCAACCTGGGTTCCAGCCGCTGCATTTGAGCCAAAGCGTGACGTAGGCTCGCTTCAGAGATCCCGTTCTGCCAGTACCTCCTGGGTCGGTGTGCCCTGGACCCCAGTTGCGCCGCATCCACCGCCTGCCCCCTGCCGACGGCTGCCTCTACTTCAACGAACGCTCTCCGCACGTGTTCTTTGCGATCCTCGGCGAAATCCGCGTTTTCCAGGATGTAAAGCACCTCCCCTTGTTTCTTCTGGACCATCTCCAGCACTCGCTTAAAGTCCCTGAAGGAGGCCCCTCGGATGTCTTCTATCCCCATCCCTACTCCCGCGCGGGAGTAACCTTGACATTCCCACCCGGCTATGATTACATCAACCTGCCCCCACGTCTCTAATTTCTCCTCCGTAATATCCCGCACATCATCCTCTTCCTCGGCGGGTAAGGCGGACTCTGTAAGCTGATCCGGGTATTCCTCTAGCAACAGCCTAGCGTGATGCTGGGCCATCCGTCGAACCACGGGGTCTCGCTCAACATGAATCCACTTCCGCACCTTGCAGCCCGCTCGCAGCACCGCTGCCAGTCCTGTGCCATACAGCTCCATCACGCACAATGCCCCTTCGAGGGTCCACAGTCTGGTCACCCTCTCCTTAAGCGATTGCGGTTCTCTCCCTTGCTTCCTCCGCTCTATCCTCCGTTCGTACTCCTCCGCGTATCTCTCCCAGCTCCAGTCATCCAGCTCAGGACCCAGGTCGGCTTGACGAGCCCCATAAGCTTCCCGCGGCTCTTGCCCGGCGAACTTCACTGGCAGCGTGCCGACCGAACTTTCCGGGTCGCAGTAGTGCACGCGATACAGCACTTTCTCTTGCCAGGTACAAATGGTGGCGCCGACCCGATACAGCAGCTCCATGCCTACCAACACGGCATAGTCCTCAGACTCTGACACCCCACACGTCACACGAATGCAGCATTCTTTCTCGGTTCCTGGGAGCAGTACAATCTCGATAGGCCGTAAGGTCCGCGACATCCATTTAGGCTCGCCCCCTTCCGCCGTCATGAGTAGTATCCCCCTCGGTACCATCCTCCCCGGCATATCCAGCTTCAGCTGCCGCGCCAATCCCTTTCCAATCAGTACGTGGTGTGCACAGGTATCTATGATCGCTTGCCCTACTGGCAACCCCCCCACTGTCATGCTCCCCTTTTCCGCTATCAGGACGAACGCCTGGCACACCAGCCTCTCGTTGGGGTGCCGGCGTAGCTCCGAAGTACTACTCCCTTCGTGGAAGTTACCCCTCGGCCCCCTCACTCGGCTCGTGCGGCTCTCGGATGACTGACTTCCCCGGGGCTGGAGGTCGATTTCCTCTCTCTTGGGAACGCCATAAACCCGCTCGCGCGCAGATACTCGCCTTCGCTCTCCTCTTCCCCTTCGATCTCTTCATATGCGAGCATCGCGCGAGCTTTCGGCTCGACTCTCGGCTTCGCCTCCAGCTTCAGCTGTAGCTTCTTAATTTCCGCCTGTAGCTCTTCCCTGCTAGGGTTCTCTTCCGGTCGGCGGCGGCTGTAGCACACTTCGTCCTTATGCCCCTTCCGCCCCAGATCTCGCACACCGGCAACTTCGGGCAGTCGCGCTTGAGGTGGCCTATCGTTGGGGTGCCGGCGTGACATCGGCGTGCTTCCGTCCGCGTCGGTCCCACTTGCGGCGCCTCCACCAGAGCTGCTGCCGCCCATGAGGACTTCGCTTTAGGCCGCGAATCTCCGTCCTCCAGATCCAACATCCTTTGCGCGTGCTCCGTTTGTTTCGCCAATCCGTACACTTCCTTCAGCGTGATATCAGCGCCCACGCCGTACACTGTGTTCCGCACCACATTCCTCAGATCTTCGTCCAGGCCTCTTACGAACTTGCGTACTAGGAGCCTTTCGTCTCGAGTCCCCAGGTCGTCGGCGAGCTCCCTCAGCCTGCAGTAATATGCCAGCAGTGATTCGTCCTTTCCCTGGCGAAACTCGCGGAATTCTTCTACTCTCGCCTTGGTTTGCCCCAGAAACTCTTTCTTCAGTAACTCAATAAAACGGGCCGTCGGGTTTTCTATCTCTCCACAATCCAGCTCCTCTAGCACTTCGTTCCGTGTCATTTGGTAGAAGGTCTTTGCTTCGCTCGCCAAGGTTACTACCATTCGACGGAAGAACTCAGCCGGGTCCAGCCCGTCCCGCTCCCAACAGTACTGCACCGTCTCCAACTGCATCAGATAGTTTTTCGGGGTAGGGCCCACTCCTGGGATCCCGGTGAAACGCTCGACCACTTCTAGCTTCGGGAGCGTCCCACTCGGCCATCTCTTCTCGCTCAGCCGGCCATGCGGGGTGACGGTCAATGGTAACTCCGCGGTCTGGCTTTCTACGATCTTCCGGTTAGTCGGCGTCTGGATGTCTCCTTCTGTCTGGCGGCTCAACCAAGCCGTAGGCTCTTGCGCTCGGTCCGATTCCATTCCTGGCATCGCCCCAGGGGAAGTATTCCCCACCGAGCTCTCGCTTCCCGGGCCCATCGCAGATCGTGTGGCGTCTCTCCTGGGTCTGACGCAATGTTACGGGGTGGGTCCATTTCTCGCCGTTCGCGCTCCCGCTGATGCGGGGTTCGGTACGCTGTCGCCGGGACCGGCGAGCGCACCGTTACCGTCACTACTGCTCAGTCGGAGGCTGTCGTTGCAGCGGCGCGCCAGCTTGGCTCCGCGGAAATGTCTTCTCTACGATATCTCTGTCCGGATCTTAGTTTAAACCTATCGTTCATACTAGCTACTTGCGACAACGGGTCGCGTTCCTTGCTTGTTTGTTGTGGGGTCCTACTCAAGCGAACTCTGCTAGGAAAACCTAACTCGGCTGACTGTCGGATAAGACAGCACCAACACTTCGTGGGCTTGCTATGGTTGGCTCCTCCACTGGCGCAACTCTAGAGGTTTCTAGGAACAAGTCTTTGCTTAGAGTAGAAACAAACAAGCAAGCAATTGCCTCTACGCTGTTGCTTGCCTAAGTATCCATGTCTTGATGTTTTTCACTTCCTTCACCCTGGCTTCCACACTCTGACTGACCACTCCGTACCCATCCTACAATTCTTCTCCGCTCCTCCCCGCCGCTCTTCTCCTCCCCCCTCGCCAGTCCTTCCACAACCACTTAGTGCAGGAGACGTTGATGAATTTGTGCTATGCCGCGAAAGGGTGTCATGCTTGAGATCCCCCTCATCATCCCCCCTCCCCCGCCCTCCTCCACTCCCCACCGCCCTCTCCCCTCTCCCACCCGCCAGTCGTTCCGCAACCGGCTGGTGCAGGACGCAGATGAACCTGTGCTACGCGGCCAAGCATGGCGACATGCTGGAGTGCTTCCGCCTCGCTGCTGGCGGCTTTGATGTGGCGGCCGTCGACTACGATGGGCGCACGCCCATGGTGAGATGGCCGCACGCCCATGGTGAGATGGCCGCACACCCATGGTGAGATGAATGAGAGTGAGATGAGGTGAGAGCAGGGAGTTGTTGCGCTGGCTAATTAAGTTGATTCAGCCAAGAACGCTTTTTGACCTCCTTTCCCCACCACACCACGCCACACCATGTCCTCCTCCACCTTCCCCGCTCTCCCCTCATCCCCTTCCATGGGCAGCACCTGGCGGCAGTGACAGGGCAGGACAAGGTGGTGCTGTGTAACCTCCTTTCCCCAAACCATTTCCCCTCTCTCTCCCCCCCGTTTCCCTCTCCTCTGTTCCCCCACCCCCCTCGACCAGCACCTGGCGGCGGTGACAGGGCAGGACAAGGTGGTGGCGTTCCTGCTGGCGCACGGCGCGCAGGTGAACGCCAAGGACGCCTTCTGGCGCACCCCCCTGCAGGAGGCCGTTGCTGCCGGCCACTGGAGCACCGCTGAGATCCTCCGCAGGTCAGTGCGCTCCCCATTGCTCTGCCTCTGCTCTGCCATTGCTCTGCCATTGCTCTGGCATTGCTCTGCCTCTGCTCTACCTCTGCTCTACCATTGCTCTGCCATTGCTCTGCCATTTCTCTGCCATTGCTCTGCCATTGCTCTGCCATTGCTCTGCCATTGCTCTGCCAGTGCTCTGCCTCTGCTCTGCCTCTGCTCTGCCATTGCTCTGCCATTGCTCTGCCATTGCTCTGCCATTGCTCTGCCATTGCTCTGCCTCTGCTCTGCCTCTGCTCTGCCTCTGCTCTGCCACTTTTCTGCCAGACACCTCGAAAGGCAGAAGTGCAGCGCGCCCTGGCACCTGCTCTGCTCTGCGGTTCCCCATTTGCAGTGTACCCTCTTTGCTACTCACGTGCTGGCACTCCACTTCTCTGTTCCCTTCTCTTTCACACCCCTACTTCTCCCATCTTTCACTACTCCCCTTCTCTCTCCACCGCCGCCTTCCTCCCCACTTCGTCCCCCCCTTACTCCCCACATCTTCCCCCAGCCACCAGGGAATGACCCAGCCGCGCAATCACCGCAAGCACACGTGCCACCTCGCCTGCTCCACCACAACCACCGGGCGCGCCTTTCACTCCCCCTCCCTCCCGCCTTTCCAGTCCTGCAGGTGAGCCCCATCCGTGCACTCATGCGCACTCAACTTGTCAATCCCTTGCGGTGGAATTGAAGGGATGCCAAGGCTTGCAAACTCCCACCAGCCGCCTCGGACGTTCGAGCTGCCTCGATCCCACCAACCCCTTTCACTCCATTCGCACCCTCCCCTCTCCACTCCCCCGTCCAGTCTCCCTCACCAAGGTTCACACGTGAGCTCTAATCCAACATGCATCCAGAGAAACACTCTTCTGGACCTCCCATCCCAGCCCAGCCAGCTCCTTCTAGACGTCGCAGGAGATGTGTTGGTGGGGCAAGCTCCTCCCCTCCCCTTCTCCTCCTTCTCGCGCCTTCTAGTTTCTCTCCAGCAACACAGCCGACCTCCACCCTGCAGCCCAGCAAGCCAGGGAACAGCTGGTGCGAAATGCCGCGCGAAATGCCGGTGGGAACAGCTGGTACGAACTCTAGAAGGGAGAGCAAGGGCAAGAGGTGAAACTCGTCGAAATCCATGGCGCGCGCGGCTCAAATCTGGTTTTTTGGCGAAATGGCGCGAGAATTAAAACGAGAGCTGGGCTAGTTAGTGGCGCTAAGGAGCCACATCGACAGCTGGGTTGTACCCAGTCCGCATTATGATTAGTGGCGCTAAGGAGAATTATCTACGTCGCATCGCCATCGATCGACAGCACTATGAAGAGGGTTACGCAGTTGTCGTCTCGTTGTGGCTGCTAGTTTCGAGCCAAAGCCGACAGCATTGGAGTGACCACGCGCCCCGCTCCCCACCCCAATTTTCTGGAAATTTGATAAGGGCGCGTGTGATCTATTCTGAAGTTGGGAAATATGTTCGAACTTATGGTGGTTACCCGTTTCGTGAATGTCGCTGAAACCCGTTGGCGAAGGCATCGAAATGTTGGGCGCACATAAGTGCGAATTCCATTTGTGAACTCGTCTCGAGTCGAATAGATGAACGTGATTGTACACGCTGAAGTGAGCGTGTGTGTTTTCGGCACGTACGAAGACCTTGCGAAATTGACGACTGCATCGCGAAACAATCATAGCAGTATGTTGATTTGGCGAGCATGTACCGGGTTACAAAGAGGTTCGAATTTTGGGGTTCGACCTTGCGTGTGTGATTGCATCTTTGCAGTGTTATTCCCGCAATGTTCGAACTTAGCTACAAGGAAAGTCGAATTCCATTCGACTGAAGTTCAAGAAAATCATAGGTCCCCAAAACATAAACTTTGTCAAATTTGACGGAACACACACACCCTAAGTCTGATGTGCGTGTCGTGGACGTGAAGTTTTGCTGTGGGGATGTGTTAGTGGAGTCATAGAGGGGAAGCAGAGCACACAGCACCCTCACCTCACTCGAGGAAATAGCTGTGGAGTGGAGGATTGACAGTTGGATGGATGTACCTGGTCGACGTTCCAGTGAAAGGAAAGACTTCAAAATCGCAGCCTGACGACCTTTCTCTGCGGCTAGGATCCTGCCATGTCAGCGATGGGATTTGAGAACGGAAGGTGTGGTGCGTGGCTTGTGGTGTAGATCGATAAATTGTAATAATGGTGGACAATTGTATACGATTTACAACATAAAACATACTCTCTATAGTCATTCCTCTCTGAAAGCTCAGTCTTCAAATGTTTGAACCAGCATGATGAGGTGGTGGACCAGTCAGTACATTTCCCGCCGTAACACACCAGCCAACCCCGAGAGCACTAGCATACCTTCTTCTGACACTTTGAGTTGACTGAAAGCATAAATACCGACAACAGACCGGTGTGAGTATGGTACCTCGCGGCGGTCCGAAATGCGGAAAGACGTTGACGAGTAGGCTGGCGGCAACGCTAGCAGATTAAGAGCAGAACATAGAGGGGTGTTTAGTCGGCGACAGAGCAAGCGTCACTGTTAAACTGGATTAGCACTGGGTGGAAATGCCGAGACTAGCGAGAAGCTCGAAATTCAGAATCGTCCAGCCGGCGGCTCGCGTGTACGTTGTAATTGGCTTTTGTGTCAAACAGACTCGCGTTGCTTCCGCTCGGGTCGTATCGTTCACGTCTCCATTGCGTCCGCACTTCGTCCGGAGTCAGTTTTCGGCAGTTGCACATTTTCCTGATGGTCTACGACATCCTCCGAACATTATCGCACTAGACCGTAGCATCTTCACGTAGCTCCCAGGAGGCCCCCTCGTTACATCCGCGGCGTCGAACCATTTGTTCCGAAATCGCTCTGCGAAACAGTTTTCGCCACGAGAGGCGGCCCGTGCCTCATCCGGTTCGACGTCTCGCAACCTGCGACACGGCCTCTGCTTTCTCTCGCCCGTTTGCATTGACTCCTCCGCATCGACCAGTTGTGCTCTCCGACCCCTCCATCTGCTGCTTAGCCTCTCGGCCTGCTGTATCTTGTCGAGCCACGAAATTGCAAGGCGGGGAGCGAGCGAAGCAGGAGAAAGCGAAGCAGACTCTGCTTGGAGGAGAGTGCAGCAGCGATGGTTGAGGCGCAAGGGACGCAAGTGGAAGGCACGCGGAAGCAGCAGCGGGCTGAGGTGGCGCAGACAGAGGCAATAGTAGTCCGGGCGGGCGAGTCTGGACTCTTCCTCACGGGAATGCGCGTCGTGGTGGGCGGCTCGTCCAACAGCGTCGTCAATAAGGTCGAATGGGGCTGCCGGGTTTGTCGCTCTAGGCGCGGTGTTTATTGTGTTTGAGTCATGTGTCACGTTGTCAGGTCAACTCGTCTTGTGTCACGTTGTCAGGTCAACTCGTCTTGTGTCACGTTGTCAGGTCAACTCGTCTTGTGTCACGTTGTCAGGTCAACTCGTCTTGTGTCACGTTGCCAGGTCAACTCGTCTTGTGTCATGTTGTCAGGTCAACTCGTCTTGTGTCACGTTGCCAGGTCAACCCGTCTTGTGTCACGTTGTCAGGTCAACTCGTCTTGTGTCACGTTGTCAGGTCAACTCGTCTTGTGTCACGTTGTCAGGTCAACTCGTCTTGTGTCACGTTGTCAGGTCAACTCGTCTTGTGTCACGTTGTCAGGTCAACTCACCTCAGGTCAACTCCCCTCAGGTCAACTTCCGTCAGGTCAACTCCCCTCAGGTCAGTTTCCGTCAGGTCAACTCCCCTCAGGTCAACTTCCGTCAGGTCAACTCCCAATTCCAGCTTCCCCTGCTGGCCTGACTCCCCTGCCAGTCACCATTTCATCCTTCTCACGTGCCCCTTATTCGCTCGCACCATGGTTACATGGTTACTCTCACGTGCCCCTTATTCGCTCGCACCATGGTTACATGGTTACTCCCCTGCCCGACCACACAGGTTGAGGACAATGTGAGGCGCGCAGGGGGAACGGTGCTGCCCGCTTATGTCCCCTCCACCTCCCTTATGCTCATATGGTTACATTCTTACCCACATCTGCCCTCTTACTCCCCCGTCCGCACAGGTTGAGGACAATGTGAGGCGCGCAGGGGGAACGGTGCTGCCCGCTTATGACCCCTCCTGCTCCCTTGTGATTGTCGATGACCTCACCATGGTAACAACCGTTGCGACTGGACTGTGGTAACTAGAACGTGGTAACACTCTCCCTCGTAATTGTTGCTGACCTCACCATGGTAGTAACACCCCATGCGACTGGGCTGACCATGGTAACACCCCTTGTGACTGTGACTGTGGTAACCAGAATGTGGTAACGCACTTCCTCGTGAGTGTCGCTGACCTCACCATGGTAATGCGGCCCCAACCGTGTGGTACCATGATGGGGTAACACACCCTCTGGGACTGTGGTAACACACCCTCTGGAAATGTGGTAACACACTCTCTGGGAATGTGGTAACACACCCTGTGGGAATGTGGTAACAAACCATGATGGGAATGTGGTCACATGTTACAGGTGTCTCCCCTTCCTTTGCCACCTGCACCCATGCCGTGCAGCCCTCACATGTCTTTTCTCCCCAGCAGAACACTCCATGTGCGAGAACAGCGAGCGTGCGAGGGCAGAGAGCGTGCGAGAGCAGAAGAGCACGTGGGAGGGCAGAGAGCGTGGGAGGGCAGAGAGCGTGGGAGGGCAGAGAGCGTGCGAGGGCAGAGAGCGTGGGAGTGCAGAGAGCGTGGAAGGGCAGAGAGCGTGGAAGGGCAGAGAGCGTGCGAGGGCAGAGAGCGTGGGAGTGCAGAGAGTGACACCAAGGTGATAATGGTGGTGATAATGGTGGTGATGACCAGGAGGTGTATGGGACAAAAGGTGGACTGGTGAGCAGGAGGTGTATGGGACAAAAGGTGGACTGGTGAGAAGGAGGTGTATGGGACAAAAGGTGGGGGGCCTTTGAGGCAACTCAAGGGGTGCCGGCACCACCTCAGCACCGTGAACCACATGTGGCTGGAGGACTGATGAGCCTTGATGTGAATCTGAGGTGTTTGGGGCGAGGGTGGCGGTTGAGGCAACTCAAGAGCATGCCGAGGCTCTTCGTGCACTTGGGCACCCGCCTTTCGAGCCTCCGCCCTGCCTGCATGCATATCCTGTTTGCGGTGCGCCTGGGTCGTAAGGCTGCTTGTGCCTTCTCGCTTTGCAGTTTCTTTGCTGTCCGCACTGCACGTGTGGTCTATGACACGCCAACCTTCTCTTTTGGTCCATCTCCTGCCTTGCGCTGCATGTGCCCCTTGTGCATCTAATGTATCCCCGTGTATTCCTCTGCATCCCTGTGTTTCCTTGTGCATCCCTCTGCATCCCTGTTCTCTCGCCGTCTCCATCACAGTTTGAGGGAGTGGAGGCTGGTGTCAGAAGAACGATACTCCGCCAGGTGAGAATGTCCTTTTCGTTGCATGCATCTCTGCTACCACCTCTCCTTCTGCACTCCCGGGGCATGCGCTTTTCCATCAGCCATGCCATGCCAACCATGCCAGCCCTCCAGTGACACGTTCTCCCCCACTCCCTTTCCTGCTCACCATTTCCCCCCTCCTTCGTTGCTGCTCACCATTTTCCCCCACTCCCTCCCCTGCTCACCATTCTCCCCCACCACCTCCCCTGCTCACCATTCTCCCGCACTCCCTTCCATACTCACCAGTCTCCCCCACTCTTTCGGACCTGCAGAGGTTGACAGGGAGCGAACACATTTGTGTCATTATTTCTCTCATTCTCCTCCAGTGATTCCATTCGTCCTGTGCACTTGGTTCAGCTTGTGCACTTCGTTCAGCTTGTGCACTTGGTTCAGCTTGTGCACTTCGTTCAGCTTGTGCACTTCGTTCAGCTTGTGCACTTCGTTCAGCATGTGCACTTCGTTCAGCATGTGCACTTCGTTCAGCATGTGCACTTCGTTCAGCATGTGCACTTCGTTCAGCATGTGCACTTCGTTCAGCATGTGCACTTCGTTCAGCATGTGCACTTCGTTCAGCATGTGCACTTCGTTCAGCATGTGCACTTCGTTCAGCATGTGCACTTCGTTCAGCATGTGCACTTCGTTCAGCATGTGCACACCAGAAACGAGCAGAGGCTGCAGGAGTCGACAGCAGTCATTCTTTCCATGCCTGCCACGCCTCGCCCCATGCATCATCCCATGCTTCTCGTGCGCACACCAGTGGAGAAGACGCAGAGCTGAAGCGGCTGCAGATGGCAACAGCATTCGTGCCATGCATTTACTGATTACTGATTCTTTTCCATGCATCCCCTACCCCATCCATCCCATTTGTGCTGCTCGTGCGCACACACCAGTGGAGAGGAGGCAGAACTGCAGAGGCTGCAGGAGGCAACAGCAGTCATGCCATGCCATGCATTCTCTCATTCTTTTCCATCCTTCCCCTGTCCCATTCATCCCATTAATGTGGCTCGTGCGCACATACCAGTGGAGAGGAGGCAGAACTGCAGCGGCTGCAGGAGGCAACAGCAGCGGCAGCAGCAGCAGTGGAGGCGCAGCTGCGAGGTGCTGCCTCGCAGGCCTCTGCCACCACGCCCGCAACTCAACGAGATGCCGGGAATGGTGGTGGTGCTGCTGCTACACGCGGTGCTGATACAGGCGGTGCTGTTGCTGGTGCTGTGGGTGCTGCTGCTACACGCGGTGCTGCTGCTACACGTGGTGCTGCTGCATGCGGTGGTGCTGTGTATGGGCCGTCAGAGCGTGGCGTGGCAGGTGGTGACGTTACTGGCCATGGTTCAAAGGATCATGCTGCCAACACACATGGTGCCGGGGGAAATCGAGTTACAATGGGGCCAGATGCTGCCAATTCACATGGTACTGAGGGAAATCGAGTTATTACAACAGATGAACTTGGTGGTGCTGCACTTGCCAACGGAGGCTCGTTAGACGAGAGTGCAGCCGAGGCTGTTGGGATGACAGCCAATCACGCCACTCGTGCCACTGTTGTCAACCATGCAACGCCTGTCGTTTGTGCTTCTACTGCACTAGCTGCTTCTGGTGCTGTTGTGGGAGAGGGAAGGGGCGATGCGGCAGGTGGGGCGAGGACGAGCGGTGCACACGCACGGGAAAGAGGTGATGTGAGGGTGGGGGGTGGAGAGGTGGAAGGGGGTGTGCAGAGAGGTATGGGTCGACGGAGTGGTGTGGCAATGGTTGCAGGCTGTGAGGCGCGCAGGGGACGAGAGGGAGGTGAGGGGGGAGGTGAGGAGGGAGGTGGGAAAGGAGGTGAGGAGGGGATTTGGAGTGGCCTCAATAGAGGAGAGGGAGCTGGGGCTGCTGCAGCAGTGGTTGCAGGCTGTGAGGCACGCAGGGGACGAGAGGGGTTTAGGAAGGCAGTGGAAGAGGTGGTGAAAGTACATGGAGGTGTCATGATGGGAGAGGAGGGAGTGGGGGAGGAGGTCAGGGGAGAGGAATGGACAGTGCAGGAGCGGGAGGAGGGAGAGGAGGAGGGTAATGAGGATATGAAGGAAGAGGGGGAGGAAGAAGAGGAAGGGGAGGAGAGAGGAGATGAGGAAGGAGAGGAGACGGGGGAAGCGCAAGGGGAGGAGGGAGGGGAGGAGGTGCTTTGTGGGCAAGAGGACATGGATGATGCGGAAACTGAGGAGGAGAGAGAGGAGGGAGAGGAGGAGGAGGGAGCGGAGCGAGGGGAAGAGTGGTGTGAGAAAGGGGATGAGGAAGAGGAAATGGGACAGGGGGACATGTGGCAGCGACTAGATGGGGTGGAAACTGGGGAGGGCAGGGAAGCGCGAGTGAGGCATGGTGGGGAGGGCGAGGGGAGTAAGGGCGGGGAGGGTAATGGGGGTGAAGAGGCGGAGGGTGAGGGGGGGGAGGGGGGGGAGGGTGAGGGGGGTGAAGGGGGGGAGCAGTCACCCGAACCACAGGGCGTTGTTGTGAACCTGAGAGGCATCTTTGACTCCGTGAGCGAAGGGACAGGCGGTTCAGCAGGTGGTGTGGCAGGTGAGCGTGCTACAGCTGAGCGTGCTACAGCTGAGCGTGCTACAGCTGAGCGTGCTACAGCTGAGCGTGCTACAGCCGAGCGTGCTAGAGTGGTGAGTCCACTTCAGGCAAGCGGGCAAGGAAGTGTGGCTGCTGACGTGGCAGATGCAGCCTGTGATGTGGCTAGCGTGGCAGGTAGCCTGGCTGACGTGACAACTGCCGCAGGGGATGGGGCTGCTCCAGTGCCTGAAAATGTATCGCAAGCCAAGGTTTACCACCACCACCACAACCAGCAGCAGCAGCAGCAGCAGCAGCAGCAGCAGCAGCAGCAGCAGCAGCATCAGCAGCAGCCGGAGCAGCAGCAGCAGCAGCAGCAGGAGCAGGAGGAACAAGAGGAGCGAGCTGCTAAAACAGCAGCAGTACCTTCTCCAACCCAGCCGCAATCACAGCCACTGCGCCTGAATGGCATGCACGCAGGCATAGGCATGGCGTTGGATATGGGTGGACTGAGCTGCAGCTCCGGTCGTGGTGCTGCCGTTGCTAACAAGCATGCAGGGGGGAGCAGCTGTAGTGGCAGACCTGGGGGGAGTCTGGTGAGTAATGGCAAGCATGTGGAGAGGGGCATTCATACTGGCAGATCAGAGAGGGTGCTGGTGTGCGGCGGCAAGTGTGCAGAGTCCAGTGGCCGTGGAGGGAAGCTCCAAGTGAGGCATCTTCGGGAGGAGCAGATTGGCAGCGGCAATGGGGAGAAGGTGGGTGGTATTCCTCAGAGTTCCAATCCGGTGGAAAGGGATGCAGATGGCAGAGGGGACAATGTGGATACTCCTCAGGCCAGGTCGATGCACAAGGAGGGTGGCGGCTGTGGTGATGGCAAGGATGCGAGGGAGGAGGTGGGACGGGGGGATGAGGGCGGTGGTGTAATGGGAGGAGGGACTGATGATGGTGCGATGGGAGGGGGAAATGACGATGCAGTAGCTGGTGCTAGGGAGGCTTGTGGTGGTGCTGAGGGGGGTAAAAGTGGAGGGGGGGATTGTGAGGGGAGGAACAGTGACAGGGGGAACACTGGAGGTGGAAAGAATGAGGATGATGCTATGTGTGATACGGATGTTGACAAGCCTGTTTGTCATAATGATGATTTGGATAGTAGCAGCGAGGATGGGGTTTGTGCTGCCAAAGGCAAGGAGAACGAGGATGCTTGTAAGGGGGATGGAGATGAGGATGGGCCGATGGTCTCCTCGCTTCCTGATTGGCTGCAGGGCGATGTGGTCATTGGCCACGTGGCACCCTCCCCATTGGTCAAATCGTTCCACCGGAGAAAGCCGGCTCTGGGGAAGGAGAACGTTGAGAAAGCGGATCTTGAGACGGAGGTGTGTGCAAAGGGGTCGGTGAGGGGCGGGAGCAGTGGCAGGGGGAAGAGAGGGGGGCGGGAAAAGGGGAGAGGAGGAGGAAGCAGGGGACGGGGCAGAGGTGTGGAGAGGAGGAAGGATGGGCTGCTGTCAATGGCTGTAGAAGGCGGAGAGGAGGAGGGGCGGGAGGAGAGTGCAGGGAAGAGGGGGCGTGAGGAGAGGGATGGGGGCAGGAAGAAGAGGAAGGGGAGCGAGCGACGAGAGGGAAAGAGGCAGAGGGATGAGGAGGGTGTGGATGGAAGAGAGGTGGAGGAAGGCGAGGTTCGGGTGGGTGATATGGATGAAGGGGCGAGATGCGGTGGAGAGGGATGGGGGAGGTTGGAGGGCGGTGCTGCAGCTGGGGAAGTGGAGGTGCATAGGGTTGGCGAGGAAAGGGAGAGGGAAAGAGAGCTGAGGACGAAACGCCGAGAGGATCCCTTGAGAGGTGGGAAGCGTTGGAAAGAGGAGAGAACAGAACGAGGGAAGGCGTGTGGGATGGACGAGGGGGAGGGAAAAGCTGGGAGAGAGCTGCAGCAGCAGGAGGAGGAGGAGCAGCAGCAGCAGCAGCAGCAGCAACAGCAACAGGGGGACGTAGACGCTGAAAGGAGCGAGGGGGGATGGGAGGAAGAATGTGAGAGGGAGAAGCAGCAGCAGCGGAGGGTTTTGAAGCGCCTCAAAACGGTAAAGCAGCAGCAAGAGGCAAATGGATATGCAGAACGGAGGGAGGCCGAGGGAGAAGAGGTGAAGGAGAAAGGCAGGGGCGGTAGAGGCAAGGCAGATATTGCTGCTGCTGCTGCTGTTGCTGCTTCTGCTTCTGCTTCTGCTGCTGCAAAGCGGAGGAAAAGTGAGTCTGGGACGGCTGGAGAGACGCGGGTTGGGAAGAAGAAGTGTGTTGAGAGTGGCAAGGGTGCAGGAGGAGGGGAGAGGAAAGGACAAAGAGGCACAGGAATCGGGTGTGAAGCGAGGAGGAGTGGAGAGAGAATAGGAACTGACGATGAGGAAGGTGTGGGGGAAGAGAGTGGTGATGAGTTGGGTGCTGGGGGAGAGAGTGAGAATGACGTTGTGGTGGTTGGTGCAGAGGAGAGTGATGATGAGGCTGTGATGGTGCATGGGGATGTGGAGGACGAGAAGCCGGATATGAATGCACGCAAAAACGCACCTGCTGCTCCTGCTGTTAAGGGGACTGATGTGTGTCCACCGACTGAGGCTGCTGGGACTGGTAGGAAGAGGGGGCGCAAGCATGCAGTGGAGGGCAGTGGTAGGGGTGTGAAGGGCAGAGGGAGGAAGAGAGTGAGTGGGAGCACAGATGGAGACGAAGAGGAGAGTGCAGAGGAGAAAGATGCACGCAGGAGGGGGGGTGCTTCTACTGCTAAACCTGCACTAAGATCCAAAGCTGCCGCTACTGCCAAAACCACTGCCACTGCCAAACCTACTGATAATGCCATACCTGCTGCTACTGCCAAACCTAATGATACTGCCAAGCCTACTGCTACTGCCAAACCAGCTCCCACTGCCAAGCCCACTGCTACCAAAGCCCGCACTGCTTCCCTGACGCCCATCACGCGGTTTTTCCAGCCAATAAGCAGCTCCAGCCCCAGTGGCAGCGGTGGTGGTGCTGCTGGTGGTGGTGCTGGTGCTGGTGGTAGCATTGGTGGTCGTGCCAGCAGCAAGAGCTGCAGCCAGGCAGACGGGCAGAAACGAGACGCTGTGGCAGCAACCAAAGGGGGGGGCGAGCAGGGCGAGGCAGAGGGCAGTGGAGACAAGGGAGGTGCGGAGATGAGCATGTGGGGGGGCGGAGAACGGTGGTTCCTGCTGGGGGGGTCTTCACGCAGTGAAGGGCAACTGAGGGCCATTGTCACTAAGCTGGGCGGCCGCGTGTGTGGCGAGGCAGGGAGCGCTGCTGCTGATGCTGCCGCTGGTGGTGGTGCTGGTGGTAAGGGTGGCAAGGGCGGGAAGGGGGGGCGGAAGGGCGAGAAGGGGGAGGGAGCGGAGCTGCAGTGGCACCCCAAGGCCACGCATGTCATCCTGCCCCCGCCGCTGAAGCGCACTGAGAAGCTCATTGCTGCCCTGGCTGCTGGCCGGTGGGTGCATGCACCTCGTCTCACCCTTTTGCACCGCTGCTCACCAAACCCCCACTGCTCACCCCAAGGCCACGCATGTCATCCTGCCCCCGCTGCTGAAGCGCACTGAAAAGCTCATTGCTGCCCTGGCTGCTGGACGGTAACTGCATGGACCTGTTTTCACCCCTCTGCACCATTGCTCACCCAATCCCCACTACTCACCCAGTGGCACCCCAACGCCACGCATGTCCTGTCCCCGCTGCTGAAGCGCACTGAAAAGCTCATTGCTGCCCTGGCTGCCGGACGGTGGGTGCATGCACCTCTTTTTACCGCATTGGACTGCACCACGGCTCACCGCATTGCACCCCTGCTCACAGCAGGACCAGCATGTCTTCCTGCCACCGCCCCTCAAGCGCACTGAGAAACTTATTGCTGCCTTGGCTGCTGGACGGTGGGTTAATACACCCGTGCTGCATAAACCATTGCACCCCTGCTCACCTCATTGCCCCCCTGCTCACCGCATTGCACCGCTGCTCACCCCAAGGCCACGCATGTCATCCTGCCCCTGCCCCTGAAGCGCACTGAGAAGCTCATTGTTGCCCTGGCTGCTGGACGGTGTGTTGATGGATGCACCTCGCTTCACCGCATTGCACTGCTGCTCACAGCAGGACCACGCATGTCATCCTGCCCCCGCCCCTCAAGCGCACTGAGAAGCTCATTGCTGCCCTGTCTGCTGGACGGTGGGTGCATGAGCTCTCTGTGTAAGCCATTGCAGCCCTGCTCACCCCAATTCGACCCTGCTCACCTCATGCGGCCCTTCTTAACCTAATGCTCACTTTCTTACCCCAATGCACACCTTCTCACCTCAGTGCACCCCTGCTCACCCCAACGCTCCCGTTCCCCTCTTGTGGCTGCCCTGTTGCTGCCATTGAAGCGGCATGCCCTTGATAAAGTGCACAAAGTGACCCTCACCCTCTCATCTCATCACCATCTCCCCGTATGCCCTCCATCCACCCCAGGTGGGTGCTCCAATCATACTACCTCACAGCGAGTGCAGCAGCAGGCCATTTCCTCCCAGAGGGCCCGTATGAGTGGAGGGGCAAGGGCAGCAACAGGGACGGCTCCAACTCACCCTCGCACTCTCACGTCTCGTCTCCTTATTTTCATTCTAAACACCGTCTTTCCATTCACCCTCCCATAACCGTCACTCCAGGTGGGTGCTCACACCACACTACCTCACAGCCAGCGCCACAGCGGGCCATTTCCTCCCCGAGGGCCCATTTGAGTGGCGGGGCGAGGGCAGCAGCAACAGGGATGGCTTCAACAAGCCCTCGCACTCTCATACCACCTCCCCATCTCCCTTCCACCCACCCCAGGTGGGTGCTCACACCAGACTACCTCACAGCCAGCGCTGCAGCGGGCCATTTCCTCCCGAGGGCCCCTATGAGTGGGCGGTGAGGGGTAAGGGCAACATCAACTGGGAAGGCGCCAACTGACCTTCATCCTCTAATCACTGTCTCCACATACCCTCCATCCACCCCAGGTGGGTGCTCACACCAGACTATCTCACAGCCAGCGCCACAGCGGGTCATTTCCTCCCGGAGGGCCCGTTTGAGTGGCGGGGCGAGGGCAGCAACAGGGATGGCACGGTGGAGCTGGCAGCGCCTGGCAAGTGGCGTCAGCAGTGCGACAGGAATGGGGGCCGAGGGGCGTTTCATGCTGTGCGGGTGCTGCTGGTGCCGCCATCTGACAGCCCCTCCTCTATGGTACGCACGTCACACATGTGTGTGAAGGGAAGTGGTGTCTAGTCAGAAGTGGCTGCGATCAGGAGTGGCCCCTATGAGTGGTGTGGTGTGACGAGGGCAGCAACAGGGATGGCACAGTGGAACTCGCAGCGCCTGGCAAATGGTGCCAGCAGTGCAGCAGGAATGGGGGGAGAGGGGCGTTTCACGGGGCACGGGTGCTGCTGGTGCCTCCCCCAGATGGCCCTTCCTCTATGGTGCGTGGCACGTGTGTGTGAAGGGAGATGCTGCTAGAGTGGTTGTTTGAGTCTTGCGAGGGAGGGGGGATGGGCGGCAACAGGGACGGCACGGTGGAACTCGCAGCGCCTGGCAAATGTGTGTGTGAAGGGAGATGCTGCTACAGTGGTCGTTTGAGTCTTGCGAGGAGGGGGGATGGGCGGCAACAGGGACGGCACGGTGGAGCGAGCAGCTCCCAGCAGGTGGCGCCGGCAGTGCGAGCGGAATGGGAAAAGAGGGTTTTTCATGGGGCACAGGTGCTGCTGGTGCCGCCATCTGTCAGCCCCGGAATCTATGGTATGGTACGAAGAGAAAGGTTGCTAAGCAGGTGGCGGCCTGCAGGGCAGGTGGAGTGCGGTGGCGAGGGGGGTTCCGTGGGATGCAATGCGAGTGCTGCTTGTGTTTTCCATCTAATAGCCCTTTGTGTATGGCTCGTGCAATAGTATGCACCTGGAATTGGCGTTACCAGGTGGCCTGGGCAGGGTAGAGTGTGGCATGACATGTCGCTTTTGAGACGTCTCAAAAGGAATTGGCGCTACCAGGTGGCCTGGGCAGGGTAGAGTGTGGCATGACATGTCGCTGTTAGTGCCTGCCACCCACGGCAGGTAGTCCCTCGCCTCGCTGTGCTCTGGCCTGTAGTCTGCTCTGCTCTGTTCTACTGCTGTTCTGCTGTTTCCGCCAGGAGGTGTCTGGAGTATAGAGAGTGAGGCAGTATAGGGTTTTTTTGGTTGCTGCTGATGCTGCTGCTGCTTTTTGCTGCTCTCTACTGCTCTTAACTCCTCTCTGCTCCTCGAGTCTCTCTATCCCCTCCTCGCCCCTATCTCCTTGTTCACACGAACACCTGCAGGATATGCTGCACCGCATTCTCACAGCAGGGGGGCCCGGCCGTGGCTTGAGTGCCAGAACTGTTCTACTCACCCCAAGATTCAAGACTCAATTCTCTCCTCCCTCCTATTCCCCCCAACATAAACAACCACCTGCAGGTCATGGTTCTCTTCTCCGCATGCTCACAGCAAGGGGGGCGGCCGAGACTCGAATGCCACGCGCGTTACCACTCGCTGGAGCTTTGGAATCCTGAGAGCCTGCATTCTAAGCCCTTTACCCTTGGCACCCACCCATGAGCTGAGTCACCTGCAGAACATGCTGCAACGCATCCTCACAGCGGGTGTGGTGTGGGCAGCAGCGGATTGAACGCCCACACCCGCTGCAGCGGGTATGCGCATCACAGCTTCTGAAGCCGCTAAGCCCTGAATTCAGAACCTTGAACCCTTGACCCCGTGCGCACATACAGGACGTGCTGCACCGCATTCTCACAGCAGGGGGGCAACTGTAATTCGAATGCGGCTGATATCCTCTGTCCTCTCCCTCTCCCCCCTCCCCACACAACCAAACACATACAGGACGTGCTGCACCGCATTCTCACAGCAGGGGGGGCGGACGTGACTCGAGCCTCAGAGCCCTGTGTGGCGGCGGCTCTCACGCCGCAGTTTGACTTCATTGTGCTCAAGCCAGGTGGGTTGGGTGCTTGTATGCTTGTATGCTTGTGTGTTCCTGTGCATGCGCACTGGTGTGGGGGTGCTGAGCCTGAGGGTGCTGAGTCTGGGGGTGCTGAGCCTGAGAGTGCTGAGTCTGAGGGTACTGAGCCTGGGGGTGCTGCGACTGACCGTGAGGCGCCTGGAGGCGCTCCCTGTTCACAGCAGCTGCGTGAGTGGTACTCACGGTACTGCAGCCTCGGGAGAGGCGCTTCTGGGGCTAGGGGTGCTGCTGCAGCTGGTGCTCTCCTCAGCGGCTCCGAGAGTGGTACGCTCGGCGCTGCAGTCTCCAGAGTGGTGCTGCTGGTGCTGAGGACCCTGGAGTTGGTGCTGCTGGTGCAGGGGCTGCTGGTGGTGCTGCTGGAGGTGCTGCTGGTGCTTCTGGAGGTGCTGCTGGTGGTGCTGCTGGAGGTGCTGCTGGTGCTGGAGCTGCTGGAGGTGCTGCTGGTGCTTCTGGAGGTGTTGCTGGTGCTGGAGCTGCTGGAGGTGCTGCTGGTGCTTCTGGAGGTGCTGCTGGTGGTGCTGCTGGAGGTGCTGCTGGTGCTGGAGCTGCTGGAGGTGCTGCTGGTGCTTCTGGAGGTGCCGCTGGTGTTGGAGCTGCTGGAGGTGCTGCTGGTGCTGGAGCTTCTGGAGGTTCTGGAGCTGCTGGAGCTGCTGGTGGTGCTGCGGGAGTTGTAGCTGGAGACCCTGGAGCTGAGGGAGCTGGTGCTGTCTCTGCTGGCTCAGGAGGAGCTGCGCGGCCGCGGCCGTACTACGTTCCGCTCCTTCATCAGGTTCTTGGCCTCCCGCCCCCTACTGGCCCTACTCCTCCCCTACTGAGTCCACCACCTGTCCAGTCGCAGTCACAGTTACAGCCTGCCTCTCCGCTGCCCAGTCCTTCTCCTTACGCTGGGCCGACTGGAGGTCTTACGGAGCGTCGTGAGCCTGAGTCTCGTCCTGCGTCGCCTGAGTCTCGTCCTTCGTCGCCTGAGTCTCGTCCGGAGTCGCCTGTCCGTGCTGCCCGCACTGGTCGTCGTGTTCCGCGTGAGCGTCCTCCTCCTGTCCCTGGCACTCACTATATGACTCTGCGTCCTTCCACTGCTCCACAGCGTGTCCCTCTACCGTCTCCTCCAGCGTCCTCTCTTCCTGCTCTTGCTGACCCGGAGTCTGACTCTCTTCGTGCTGCCAGTCCTACTGTCACGCGTTTCCTCGTCACTGTTGTCACTGACCCTACCTTTGAGTCCACTGCTGCGTCTGCTCTAGTCGCTGAGCTTGTTGACTTTGCTGCCGCCTGTCGTCTAGACTACGCCGCTAGCCTTGTTGCTGAGTCTGAGTCAGTCTGTCCTCCGTCCGTCGGGGGTGAGTATGCTCTTGGCACGGACGTCCTCGAGGACAGACAGGAGGAGTTTGAGTGCTTTGCCGCTGCTTTACCTCATCTCGTGTCCATGCTGATTGCCCCTGAGGGAGACCCGGATGCACCAGACATCCCGACCCCACGCTCTTACGCAGATGCAATGGAGGGTCCCTACTCCTCTCAGTGGCAGACAGCCATGGACGCAGAGATGACTTCCTAGAAGTCCACAGGCACCTACGTCGACGAGGTTCCCCCACCTGGGGCGAACATCGTCAGTGGCATGTGGATTTTCAGGGTGAAGCGGCCGCCGCGTTCTCCGCCTGTCTTCAAGGCGCGTTACGTTGCACGAGGCTTCAGTCAGCGAGAGGGAGTTGACTTCTTCCAGACCTTCTCCCCGATCCCAAAGATGACCACTCTTCGGGTTCTGCTGCACGTCGCCGCTCAGCGTGACTACGAGCTCCACTCTCTTGACTTCAGCACTGCTTTCCTACAGGGCAGCCTGCACGAGGAGATCTGGCTGCGCCGCCCACCTGGCTTCACTGGGTCGTTCCCTGCTGGTACCCAGTGGAGCCTCCGGCGGCCAGTCTATGGTCTCCGCCAGGCACCGCGTGAGTGGCACGACACACTGAGGACTACACTTGCGGCTCTTGGGTTTGCTCCTTCTACTGCTGACCCGTCGCTGTTTCTACGCACCGACACCACTCTGCCGCCGTTCTACGTTCTCGTGTACGTAGACGACTTGGTCTTTGCTACTGCTGACACTGAGGCACTCGCCCACGTGAAGTAGGAGCTGCATACGAGACACACGTGCACAGACCTGGGTGAACTGACAAGCTATCTTGGCTTGCGGATCACCCGGGACAGAGCACAGCGCACCATCACCTTGACTCAGTCACACATGGTGCAGCAGGTCCTTCAGCGCTTCCGCTTCACGTACTCCTCGCCCCAGTCCACTCCTCTGCCTACCGGTCACTCGCTCTCAGCTCTGCCTTCGGATAAGTCCGTAGAGCCGAGTGGTCCGTATCCAGAGTTTGTGGGATGCCTCATGTACCTGATGACCTGCACTCGGCCTGACCTTGCATACCCTCTTAGCATCCTAGCACGCTATGTCGCTCCTGGCCGTCACCGGAAGGAGCACATGGATGCCGCTAAGAGGGTGTTGCGCTACTTGTGCAGTACGTCGGGTATGGGGCTCGTGCTTGGAGGACGGGCTAGAGTTGTCCTCACTGGGCACTCAGACGCTTCTTGAGCTGACGACCAGGCTACTCAGCGGTCGTCTCAGGGTTACACCTTCAGCCTTTGCTCTGGTTCAGTTTCTTGGCGTTCTACTCGCTCGTCTTCAGTTCTCAGCTCCAGTTGTGAGGCTGAGATCTACGCCACAGCCATGGCTGCACAGGAGTTACGCTGGCTCACCTACCTGCTGACTGACCTCGGAGAGCGGCCTCGTTCTCCTCCAGTGCTGTACGTCGACAACAAAGCCGCCATTGCCTTGTGTTAGGAGCACAGACTGGAGCACAGAACGAAACACATCGCTCTGCGCTACTTCCTTGCTCGAGAGCTGCAGCAGCGTGGTCAGCTTCGTCTTGCTTACGTGGCCACTCGGGCCAACACTGCTGATGTGTTCACCAAGGCGCTTCAGCCTTGTGATCATCAGCGTTTCGGTACTGTTCTAGGCCTTGTGCCTACTGTGCCTCACTTGCTTACTTCTTGACTCTGCTTGTACTGTGATCTCTATATATCTATACCTGCATGCTTACACTTGCTAGGTTGTGATCACTGTACCTCTTGTTATATTATCAAACTGCATGTGAACTGGTCTTGTGACCGCTTGCTTGTGCTCGGAATTTGTGTGGTTTCCTTGAGATCCACCCTGAGCTTGCTTTGTTTTGCTTTGACTGGTCTTGTGACCATCTGGTTGTCTCCCACTTAGCCTATGGGGGTGTGTCAAACATTATACATGTTTATATTGTGTAGGCTATAGTGGGTTTAGCCTTAGAGGGTACAACATTGCTAGGGTTTCCTACTTGTATCACCCTGCTGCCTAGTTTCATCCATTCTCGTTCAGTTCTACATCCTGACATACGCTACTTATATACCTACATGGCTGGCTTGTGCAGATTTTCCCTCGTGCAAACCATCACAGCCGAGAGGAAGGCGAAGAAGGATAGCTTCCAGGTAGCTGTCTGCGTGGGTGTAGGGATAACAGCATGGCAGAAGAACGTGGGAAGCGTCGACGGAGAAAACGGGTATTCTTCTGAAGAACACGCAGTTGGACTAGCAGCGACATTGTCGGTAATATGAGATGCCTCGACGAATGTGGATGGAAGCCAGTGGCGGACGGGCGCATCATCTGCGGCGCTCGCAATTTCTACCACCATCGAAATTTTATAAGGCCCACTGGAGCTCTGCTGCCACCGCCAATTCTGCTGCCACAGCAGTGTCTGCTGTGCCCTCAACTTCTGCTATACCCTCATCTTCTTCTGCCGGCGAGACTTCTGCCAACCGTACTGCCCTTGCGTTGCTTGCTGCATCGGTTGCGTGCGTCGCAGTTAAGGCAATGAAGTCCGTCGAGGATCAGGCACACGTCAAGGAAGCATGGATTCCGCCCCTTTCGGATGCGCTACTGGTAGAGCTTCCAGAAAAGTCGCGAGCGGGCGACGATACGAGGCGGATGACGAGGGTGGTGGCGAAGGTGTTGACCTCTTGGTGCCTATGCTCCATGGCATTGAGAAGCCTTCGTGAATACCATGGCGCTAGCATCGACGTCCTGCAGAAGAAACTGGGCTGCCGGGACACTGCAATTGGAGCTGATAAAGAGAAGAAGAGCAAAAAGTCGTCTGCAAAGGGGAAGGCGACGAAGGGGGCGTCGAGGGAGGAGACCACCAGCACTGGTGGTCAGGAGTGAGGGTGGTGGATCTGTTTTGACTGTGTGTAACATAGTGCATTTGTTTGCTCCTCTTAATAAAAATGTGTTTCCACAACGTGAAGGCATAACTCCTTGGAGACCTAATTCGACCAGAACTTGCAAAAAACTCCACTATGCGTTGACGCGACTAGTGTTGCATAAACACATCCTTTTAAAGGATAACTGACACAACGTTTTCGACAGAGTGTGGCAGACTCTGCCGAAACCGGAAAACAAGTCTACGAAATTTGTTGTGTGTAGAGAAGAAGGACAAGTAGAGACCTCCGGATGAGAGCGGCGCCCGCCATCCTGGAGGAAGGAGAACAAACCGAATGTTATTCTGTAGCCAAATTGTTGCAGTATTGTTATTCTGCAGCCAAATTGTTGCAGTAGCTCAACGCCTGTAGAGATCGGAAGCCTACTATACTGCTGTCGTAGTGAAAGTCAATGCATAAGATCGATGTTCTCGTCCTTATCGCAAATCAACACGTAATAGGCTAACATCGAACCTAGTTTATGTTATATGTGCCGCAATGAACGATGCAATAATTGGATAAGATCGGATGTAGAGTTATGTTGTCGCAGAAGCAGACAACTAAAAACTTTCTACAGAAACAGTACAGTATTTGTGGGGCATATGCCAGAAATGTAGAAAAGTCGATTAATACCTGTCCCCCCTAAGCGTAAAGCAATATGCACATCCCATACCCCAGAACCTTCACACAGTAGTGGTCTCCACGGCCGACAAGAAAAGAAAAAAACCAATTTCTACGCCTAACGTTTCGACGCAGCCGCCTTTGCCTTTTCCCGTTCCGCCTTCTTCGCCTCTGCAGCTCGTCTTTTCTCCTCTTGCGCAGCCCAATCTTGACTATCTTGCGCTCTTCGCCAAGTCGTTCCCGGTCTTCTGTTTCTTGTTGGCGGGAGTCTCATGCAGCACCGCCAGACCGTTGGTGAATTCGGTGTAGTTGCACAAGAGGACACATCGTCGAGCCGCTTAACAGCTGCTGCGGTCGCAGTCTCAGAGCTGTCTTCTCTGAATGTCTCCACGGCTTCCATGACAAGCTGCACGCGATGCATCTTCCGCTCGCATGCAGACTGAGACATCTGGGGCACACCTTTAGCCGCGAACCAGACATATGCGGTGAAGAAGCTGTTGTTCTTGTTTGGATCCCAGTCGAACTCTTCAAAGACATCGCTCAGAGACTTGCCGCCCATGATGTAGCTTGACTGCACCCACAGTTTCCACGCAGCCGCCACAGTCGTGAATTCACGCCAGGGCACAACGCCGACGACGAAGAAATCTTCCACCGCAACTGGTCCTTTGGGTGCATCCGTTACCTGGCTTAGACCCACCCCAGCTCCCTTCGACGATCGTCGACCTCTGCAGGGGTGTTTGCAGCGTCTTTCCTGGCCTCAACCGACCTCTTGTAAGCTTTGAACTCTGCAATGACCCACGCCTTGTCCTCTCGCTCAGCATCGCGTTCCTCCCTCAGTTTCGCGTTCTCCAACGCCAACCGCGTTTCACGTCCTCTCAACTTCCCAAGATCCTCCCTGAGTTCATTGGCGATGAGGTGCATCTTCTGCATCTTTTCCTCGGTGGTCGAGCGATAGATACCATCCTGCATAAATATACACGTCAGAACTCTGCTTAAACGGATAACTCTCTCTACCACTAAAAGCAGACACTTACTGCTTTGGCGGTGGTTTGGCTGGTCTTCCGAAGCTTCTCGCCCTCGAAGTGAAAGCTAGCGACCAGTACGCCCACTTTTGGAACAATGGGTGCTTGCACGAGGGGCTCATCTGCACATAAGGATGCCGCTCGCAATTGCACCACGGGATTCTCACGACGTGCTGATGGCAGAACACCCACATCATAGCCAGATCCTGTGCAACAACGAGGCGTCCGATGGTC